GTCCAAGTCCACATTCATCCTTTTCCTCTAGCTTATCTTTTTGTGACTTTGGAGAGCAGCCTTCCTTATCTAGGAAACAAATGGCCTCCACGGAGAGCCCAAAACAGCAAAGTCATTTATCTGTTTGACATGTGTTTGCCTGTTTGTTTTCTCCAGCCTTGAGACAAGAGTTGTGTCAACTGTGGATGGCTGTGCCCCAGTCACTTGAGAGACATGAATCAATTTCCCAGCTGCATTTATCACTTGCTGCCTTAAATCAAGTCTAATCAATGCTTCCTTCATTTGGTATGGATTGAAACTATATATACCACACTCAGAAAACAGGCGAGAAAAGCAACGGATCACAAAAATCCCACCGGGGATTTAGATGGAATGATGTTAAGGAAACATTTGCAATCTTTGATTTGCTTTAATGGAGACCCCTGACTAAACAATCTCGGAGATTTGCGTTTATGAAGCTCAACTTGCATTTACCTGACATGCAGTGACATTACATGACAAATCGTTTTATACAGGGGGAGTTCCACATCTTTGAAGATTTTATAATTAACACATTCTGAGGATTTGGTGTATTTTTAGTAGTTTTATTCTTATGTTATTAACTTGTTTCTGCTTCTTTTAGAGGCATCTGATTTGTCACCATTGACTATATAGGTCAATTTCCTGTTACAACATATAAAATAATAAAAATCTCTTTATAACAAAATAGATATCCTGTAGTCCCTCTGTTTTATGGTTATAATTTTATAAAGTCTTAGAAATTTTATAGTCTTAAGAAAACTTGACCCTCTCTCTACTCCCCCTAATTCTTGGTAATAGAATTTGATTCTCACAACCAAAGCGGATTTTTCATTAGCAGGTGTGAAAACCGCTCCCCAGCTGTCAACCAATTTAGAATGTGGTAGGGAGCAGCCCTGTCTCATTTGTAGATTAATCTTGTGCCAGTGAAAGATGATACCAGCTTAGTTACTGGCACCTAAAACCAATGATGCCCACAGCAAGGCCCCATAATATTCTTCATGGATAATGGGAGAGGAGAGACAACATAGAAAAATAGGTCAACGATAAAGCAAACCTAGAAGATGAGGCAGTGCTGTGATTCATTGGTATAATTAGTATTTTTATCTAATCTGTTGAACTATGTAGACTCTTACCACTAGCATGCCTCTGAAGCCATTAGCAGGGCTGACTCATTTTCACAGGGCTGGCTCCCCCAGTGACCTGTTGTTAGGTAGCTAAACAGGGCCCTGTTCAGACCCGGGATGTCAGACGCTAATAACAAACCCTTACCTTGGTTTAATACTTTCCAGTTTATAAAAGTGTTTTCAACATACAGTCTCACTGTACTGTAAGGTAAGCAATAAAAGCAGTTCTATTCCCATTTCTAAGATGAAGGTTAAGGTGCAAAGTTTGCATCCCTCCTTGTGAGCCGGCCATGGCCGTGGCTCGGAACTCAACTCCACATCTCCTCAACCCCAAAGCCTTGGTTTCTCCCACTGAGCTGCGACTAGGCAGTCCCTGGGTTTCCTCCCTGTTCTTTCTTCAACTTGTTTTTGTTCTCCCATCACCCAGAGTTTTGGGGAAACTCATATGGTTACAGGAGATCACTAAAGTTGCCTGGCAGGTTGCTTAGTTAATAAATTGAAATAAAAGACAGCACCTTTGGACGTGTTTTGGGTTTCAGACCTAGTGTACTATAGTGTTCTTAGCCCATCTTAAACAAAGACAGAGTAATGTGATACAACAAAGCTTCCACCTCGGTGAACAAAGAGAGGGTAAAAGAGACGCTGCGGACGTGGAGTCTGAAACTAAGGAGCTCGCTCACGCTGTCTTTAATACTCAGGAGAGTTGTTTAATGAGCGCCTGGGCTTTGAGGATGTCCGGGCAGGATCATGTTTGCTCATTCTTTCACGAAGGGAGTAACAGGTTTTTCCACCCAAGACAAGTCTCCCTGAAGTAGATCCTGTCAAGATTCCTAAGTAAGGACAGAAATTGAAGGAAGGAAGAAAACTTCCTTGGCTTTAAGCTTTTAGACAAGAGTGGATTTGCTCAACTTGCTTGACTTTAGTGGAAATGAGGCGAGTTACAGATGATAGTTTTTCAGACTGGCTTCAGGTAATGTGCTATGGAGGAGAAATGCATTTTCAATGGTCATAAGGATTTTGAAGCTCTCCGGGGAGCCTAAGAGAAGTCTTGAACACATTCTAACGAAGCTGTTATAGTGTTCAGGAGTTACCATGCATGTTAAATGGCATAGTCACCTACTATCATGTTGACACAAACTAGAATTCTTATTAGAAATACGGATACTCACAACCTTTATAAAGCCAAAGTAAAAGGGATCACACCCTTTCTTGAAAAATATGCTACTAAGTTTAATGCAAAGCAGATTTCATTTCCTCCCCGAAGCAAATTGGTTTATCTCATTTGTTCATTCATTCAGCGAATATTTATGGAGGGCTTGAGAATATGGGCACTGATGATTCAGTGGTAACAAGACACAACATAGACCCCACCGCTCCAGCAGCTTAAACTCAAGTGGGAAAATTCACATCTAAAATATTAATGGAGACTTACGCTTCCAGTCTAGATGGAGTAATAGGGACCAAATTTATTCTCCCGCCTGACATAACCAAAAAGAAAAACAGAAGCAATACATGAAACAACGGTTTTCAAGACACTGAACACGAGGCAATGTTAAGACAGATCCTAAGGGACAGAAAAAAACAGGGTAAGCCCCATGACTGCCCTACCTACTCCCTTGAAAGACAACCCAGGCACAACCCAGTGGACTCTGGAATTCAGGAAACAGAGCTGAGGACTTGGGGAGACCAAGGCAGCTAATGTCTGCAGGACAGGACAGGAATCCAGAGAGGAGAGGGCTGCACAAAGAACCCTGGATATCTGGAGAAAGAGAGTCCTCCTCTAGTATTCAAGAGGGTACTTATTGATGAGGGCTGGGGAAAGAACCATCTGAAAAGATTAGAGGGAACAGTGCTCAGAACTCACACAGGGAAGAGTGCCTCCTTCACTCAGCCAGATTGAAAACACTCCTAGTTCACAGGGCATGGGGAGAACACTCGGGAACATCAGCATTGGGGACTAACTCACCCTACACTGAGCATTGCTCTGGACCTACCTAATAGAGCAAGACCCACAAGAATCACCGTATTCCCAAGTCACTTAACCGCGCCCCAAAACAAAGCTAAAAAATATCTGTAAGAAGACATATCTAGCACCCAACAAGGTAAAATCACCATGTCTGGCGTCCAATCAAAGATTACAAGGCATGCAAAGAAGCAGGAGAACAGGACTCATGATGCAGATTTGTATCAAGAATTTATAAAGATCTCTCACAACTCAAAAATAAGAATACAAACAACTCAGGTTTAAAAACTGGCAGAAGATTTGAACAGACATGTCAAAAAGATATGTGGATGACAAGTAAGCATACGAATAGATGTTCCACACCATAAGTCTTAGGAAAATGCAAATTAAAACTGCAATGAGATACCACTACACATCTATTAGAATGCTGAAAATTTAAATGACTGACCATACCAAGTGAAGACAAGCTTATGGAAGACTGGAACCCTCATGCACTACTGGTGAGAATGTAAAATGGCACAGCCATGTTGGAGAGCAGTTGGGCATTTTCTTAAAACATTAAGCATGGCTGGGTGTGGTGGCTCATGCCTGTAATCTTAGCACTCTGGGAGGCCGAGGCAGGAGGATCGCTTGGGGACAGGAGTCCAAGACCAGCCTGAGCAAGAGCAAGAGCAAGACCCCGTCTCCACTAAAAATAGAAAAAATTAGCTGGTCAACTAAAAATAGAAAGAAAAAATTAGCCAGGTGTGGTGGCAAGCACCTGTAGTCCCAGCTACTTGGGAGGCTGAGGCAGGAGGATCGCTTGAGCCCAGGAGTTTGAGGTTGCTGTGAGGTAGGCTGACGCCATGGCACTCTAGCCCGGGCAACGGAGCGAGACTCTGTCTCTAAAAAAAAAAAAACCAAACATTAAGCATACACTTACCATATGGCTCAGTCATTCCACTCCCAGATATTTACCTAAGAGAAATGAAAGCATATATCCACACAAAGACTTATACACAGATGCTCATAAAGGCTTTATTTATAACAGCCCCAAACTGGAAACAACCCAAATGTCCATCAGTAGGTAAGCGGACAAATCTATTTAACGAAATAGTACTCAGCAATGAAAAAAAACCCAACACATGTCACCACATGGGTGAATCTCAAAATAATTATACTGAGTAAAATAAGTCTGACTAAAAAAAGGATGCATATTGAGTGATTCAATTTACATAAAATTCTAGGAATGCAAACTAATGTATAGTGCCGGAAAGTAGATCGGTGGTTGCCTGGGGAATGGGGACAGGTGGCACAGGGGATAGTTGGGGATGATAGGTATATTCATTACCTTGCTGCGGTGATGGTTTTACTTGGTGGACACACATGCCAACATCTATCACATTGTATATCTTAAGTTTGTGCAGTTTATTGTGTGTCAAGTATGCCTCAGTAAAGCTACAATAAAAGTATTATTGGGCTCTGTGTTCTAGAGACTCTGGCAGTAGGACTATTATCAACATCTAGAACTTTAAACTTTATCTTTAAAGTTATAACAAGGATACCAAAAGGTATAAGCATTATTAGCTCACTGAAAAACAGCGTTGTACAGTCACCCCTCAGTGTTTGTGGGGATTGGTTCCAGGACCCCCACAGATACCAAAATCCTCAGATGCTCAAGTCCCTGATATAAAATGGCATAGTATTTGCATATAACTTACACACATCCTCTCGTATCCTTTAAATCATGTCTAGACTACTTACAATACCTAAATACAAGGTAAATGCTGTGGAAATAGGTGTTATACTATATTGTTTAGAGAATAATGACAAGGAAAAAAGACTGAATGTTCAGTACAGATGCAATTTTTTCTTAAATATTTTTAATCTGTAGTTGGTTGAATCCACGGATAAGGAATCCACAAATCTGGAGAGCTGATTATATGTACTAAGAAAAGGTACAAAGTGAAAATAAGGAATTCTAATTCAGTAACTAAAACCAAATCTGACATAATCCTCGACAATGAATAAAACCACACAGAGTCAATTACTTGGTGCATGAGGGCTCTCTCTTTCCTGCATATTGCTGTGGTTTACAGCAGTGGCGCCCTTGGGTTCTGAAATCTGAACCGTAGTCTTCAGTTGTTCCCCAAGCTCCTCTATCAGAGGCCCAGACACTCCAGGAGCTCGGGAAGAGGCGAGTGGCTTCTCCTGACTGACATCAGACCTCCGGGTGGCTGTGTTCCTGCACACCCCAGCATCATCAATAAGCAGGGCACTGCTTTCCTCAAGAAAGGGACCTAGCAAAGACTCGACCGTCTCGCACTGACTCTCTTTGAGCTCGTCTTGTTCTGAATCCGAGTCTGAGTCTGAGTCTGAGGTTGCAGATGACGTGGTGCTGTCCGATTCCTCCGAATCGCTTGCCTCAGAACTGGAGCAAAGTGTCTGCTCCCCCGAAACTGAATGGGCTGCTTTTAATGCAGTTTCTTCCTCCTGGACAAGAAGTGCTGCTGCTTCCAGTTCTTCCAGTTCCAATCCCAGCTGGGCTTTTGTAAGGGAGACTTCCTTTAAGGCTTCTGCAAGAGCTGCTAACTTTTTGGACCTTGAAAAACATTTTAAGAAGAAATATTAGGACTATTCGTTAATTGGCCTGGGGACAACAGGGCGTATAGCTTCAAAAAAATAACAAAATAAAATTGAATCCATACTTCATATGGCACACCAGGATAAATCCCATAATAGATCAAAGATATACGTAAAAACTGAAGCTATTAAAGTATTACAAAGAAACAGAGATTTCCCTTTATGACCCTAGAATGAAGAAGGCCTTTCTAACCATGATTCAAAATTCAGAAGCCACAAAAGATTGATAAATTCAACTAAATAAAAATCAACTTCTTTTGGGCCAAAAGAAAGAAATCATAAAGTCAAGGACTGATGCAAAATTAGGGAAAATATGTGCAACTCGAATCACAGCCTAAGGCCTAATTCTCCTAACAGAGAATGTATATTAACAATCCAACTGAAAAATGGGAAAAAGATACAAGCAGACAATTCTCAAAAAAGGATACACAAATGATTCTTAAATATATTAAAAGATGTTCAACTGCAGTCAAATAAGAGAAAAACAAATTAAAGTCATATTGAGATAGATTTTTCATGTATCAGATTGGCAAATATCCAAACATTTGATAACATTCTGCCAACAAGGCTGTTGGGGAAGAGGTGCTTTCATATATTGTCGGAGGGAGATTAAATAGCTATAACCCCCATGAACCTGGTAATAACTTTCAAAACTGAAAATGTACATACCCTTGACCCAGCCAGCCCCATGTCTGGAATTTAAACACATGTAGCACATATGCTACATGACACAGCTCTGAGGTTATTTACTATGACATTGTTTTTAATACCCCCAAATGGGAAACAACCAAATGGCCTTGATATGAGACTGGTTAAATAAGTTATGGCATATCCACACAAAGGAGTAGCCTATAGCTGTACCATGAATGAAGCTCTCCATGGGCCAATCCAGACATACTGTTTAACAACAACAAAAGGCACACCACACGTATATGCTACATTTACTTAAGAAAAGAAAAACCAGGAAAGATACAGAAACATGTATTTGTATTTGCTTATATACTTCTGAATAACTCTGGAAAGCAACAGAAAACAGTAACTTATGTTGGGGGGAAGGGATAGGAACTGGAAATACTGGGTTGATGGAGGATGACAGCAAGAGGGAGCCTTTCCACTGCATATTGTTTTATTTTTAAACCTGTATGAATGTAATACCTGTTCACAATCTTACAATGTACTAAAAAGGGAAAAAAGCAATATCAGAGAGAAGCATGGAGTGCTTTTTCTCCTTATCGGAAAACCATTTCAGAAGATTATTTTTCTAAATTACTTGCTAGATTTATAACATTACATTGTATTGGGTAAATAAACTTTTTCACTATTAACTTGGATGCATTTAATGGTTTTTATTTGTTTGTTTGTTTGTTTTTTAGAGACAGGATCTCACTCTGTCATCCAGGCTGGAGTGCAGTGGCACGATCATAGCTCACTACAGCCTCAAACTCCTGGGCTCAAGGATCCTCCTGCCTCAGCCTCCCAAGTAGCTGGGGCTATAGGTGCATATCACCACGGCTGGTTAATTTCTAAATTTTTTGGTAGAGACGGGGTCTCGCTATGTTGCCCAGGCTGGTCTCAAACTCTAGGCCTCAAGTGATGATAATCCATTTTTGGCCTCCCAAAGTGTTGGGATTACAGGTGTGAACTACCATACTAGGCTTCATTTAGCTGTTTTGTTTTTGTTCCTGAAAGGACTGTCATAATATAAACTGCAGTTCTCCAAAACTATGTCTTTATTATTAAAGAGGATAATCTGATGTGACAATTGAAAAAAGATGGCAGTGAGTGAAAATGGTAAGCATGCTGACATGGTTTCTATGTTTCTGTGACTCCAAAGATGAAATGGCTGTACAAACGTTCAATGGCTTTGACACAAACTCAATGAGGGTGAGTTTACAAGATAAAATCATTTGTAAAAGTGTAGTCCACCCCATAATACTGGGAAAATGAGTTTTCATTTCAGCAGAGCTGATGTGAATGGATGGTGCGATGGGAAATACTGAGCAGAGACGGTATTTTCATCTGTGTGCCCGATGTACCTGAGACCCTATCTAGCACAACGAGTTTGAACAAGGCTGAGCCCCCTCCTCTCGGCTGTCCCCTCACGTGTAATCAGCAGCAGTGGGGGGGGAGGGGCGGGAGGCACAGCAGGTGAACGGGACAAGGGCAGCAGCCATTGCTGATGGGTAACTTTCTCTTAAGCAAGGAAAGCCCGGGATTTAAGGGCCAGAATTTCCAGAGCGCTTAGAAAAGGGGAGGTGGCTAGGGTGAAGAGGAAAACCAAGGTGAGATCAGCTGGAGTCAATTAATGATTCACCAAGTGCTATAAACCCTGGTTGAACTTTTATCAGCTTGTGACATTTTTTAAAGTATAGTTATGGAATAAGATGGTTGCAACATAATTTGCATCCATGTCCAAGATAGTTGTAGACGACGTCCACCATATATATAGAAACCTTGACTACCAGCGGTAAAGGATTTGGTCAGAGCTGGTGACCCAGGTTAGCACATCTCTGGCCCAAGACCCAGTCAGCCCAAGAACTACTTCACCACTGTATTTCTCACTGAAAGCAAGTTCTCTCTGGGTAGTGACACACAGCTTTATGGTTTAAAGAGTGATAGACTTGGGAAAGAGGACTATGCCTTTCATTAACCTATGGTATTAGAAATAAAAATTTTAAATAAAAGCTTTTACTTCATTGACCATATATCTCATTTTTAACAGTCATGACAAATACTTTCAACAATATATAAAGGATGATGTTCCACAAACATCACTGCACTTGTTCCTAACAACGACCCCATGAATCATTTCATTACTGTCCCTACGTTACAAATGAAGAAACAGAAGTTTGTAGGGGTTAAGAGAGCTGCTGAAGTTCACCCAGCTAACCTGGAGCAGTCAAGACTAGAAGCCCAACCCTCAGGACTCCAGCACTCTTCCACAGGGCCTCCCGTGAATACATAGGTTCTGCAACGTTTCATTTCCTAAGTAGACACTTTGCTTCTTCCCAATTTGAGTTCTACTCAACATCTTCCAAAGCAGTAAGTTCTGACTTGCACAAGGCCCAGAATCCTCCAAAGGTACTGTGACTAGTGTTTTTAGCTTAGTAATGTTAAATGAAGTATATATCTAAGCTTTAACTACAGAGGCTTAGAAAAAGAGACTAAAATTTGAATTATTTTTGTGAATATTACTGAATATATTAGATACATCAATTCTCAAGTTGAAACTATTTGGATCTTTGTTACTGTCTACTATACAGTTGTTATATCCTAACTGTCTTTTATAACAGGATAAATGTGGAATTCCAAAGCTCCTTACCTGGGATCCTGGCTGTTTCCAGAGAGCACACCCCACCTATGGCAGGACTAGAAAGTGTCAACTGTAACCGCAGGAAAGTGGTGAGCCCTGTGACCCAAACAGGAACTCCTGCTTGTAACCAGATGATGGTGAACTTTTATCCCTCAGGAAAAACTTTGTTTCTCACTTTGAGCATTAAATTATGCAAGAAATATATATTATACAAGAAATATATATTAAAAAAGGAATTAGATGTTCATTTCTGATCCTTCACCAAGCTGATTCATTTCTTATTATCCCACCGTTGCTACCTCAATCTAGCTAGTTTTCTAAATTAATATTAAAGTTCTGATAGAAACTTTAAGTTTATAGAAGAAGCATTCCTGAACTCTCCCCCTAAAGACCACTAGGATAAAAAGTGATTTAAATTTCAAAATAGCATGGTGTAAAATGTGACGCAGTAGTTTGAAGAATGAAAGTTGGATTTGTTTTTATTCAATTATTTTACATAGATAATCTAGTAATCACTATTCACAAAAAGGGAAATTATTCCTTTGGGGAAAAAAATTGAGCCATGAAAGAGTAGCTATTTTGTTCTTTCGACCACTGGCACAATTAGAGCTAGTTCTAATATCTGCCACTCCTTGTAAATTCTAGAATCTACTCCGCATTTAAAAGAGACAATCGGATCATACAAACTCATATTTTAATAAAATCACACTCGAAACAGGTTCTTCTTAGAAAGTTATTGGAAATGTAATCCTACCATATAACTTCTTAAAAAAATACTTTCATTCTTTTTACATTTTTATACATACGAAAGAATACCCTATTTGGAGGATTTTTCTTTAAATTAAAGGTTGCTGAGAAGTTACAGTAAATATAACTACTATGAAAGAGTATGGGAATAGCTCAAAGTACACGCCTTTCCCATGGCTAAGCTGATATAAAATTTCCTCAATTATTTTATATTTGGTGACTGAGTTTGGGAGGAAAGGGATCCACAGCCTTATGAAACAGCTAAAACAAAATGCAAACAGAGCTCTGAAACGTAGGTGGGGAGAGGAACTGGGTATAAATGGAAAGCATACATCCTGTTTCTTGCTGTAAAGTTTTGTCTCAAACTATCAATCAACTTTTCACCACTTCCTGCAATAGTAGGTCCACTGTAAATCTCATAGTAACTGATTAGGTTTCATTTCCTCTTCCCAAACCTAGTAGCTTGCCAGGCATGACATACTGAGACTAGAGCCAATGACTGATAATGTAGGACAAGACTCCCGTGAGGCAATTCCAGACATCTCACACTGGATGTTTACCGGTTAACTTGGCCTCTTAATTTCATAGCATACCACACACACAATCTCAGGTTTTAGCTGGGGCCAAACAGCATATCTATTTTTCTTTCTTTCTTTCTTTTTCTTCCTCCCCTCCCCCCACTTTTTTTTAAAGAGACTGAGTCTCACTATGTTGCCCAGGCTGGAGTTCAATGGCTATTCACAGACCTGATCACACTCACTGCAGCCTCAAACTCCTGTCCTCAAGTGATCCTCCCACCTCAGTCTCCCAAGTAGCTGGGACTACAGGTGTGTGTCATTGAGCCCAGTGTTCAAGTTTCTTTTGAAAGGACATTTACAGTAATGACATATTATTCCTCT